CTTTTTGATTTTATACATATTTTGGTAACGGAATCACTTTCTATATAATATTATCATTGAATTAGTTTGTAAGAAATAGGGTCATTGAAGTCCACCGTTCTTTTGTGGTTTTGCGGCAAGAAGACCGGCGATTGAGGGTTTCGATTTAAGAGTTTTTGTTGTGTTATCTGGTTTTTGTAAATTAGAATATATGGTTTTCGTTTGAAAATCGATTTGGGGAATTCTTGGTTCTTTTTTGTTTTGCGAGTGGTTAGGGATTTTGTTCTTCCCTAAAGATTTGAGTTTTGCGCAGTGGGGGATGATGGTTCAGATCGCGAATGTTAGGGTTTCTGAACTTGGAATTTTCTTTTGGAGTATGTATCTGATTTGTTCTTTGGAAGGATGTTGGTTCTGGTGATCACAATTAGGGGTGGTCCTTTCTTATCTTTTTCCATGAATTTGTTTTTTCGTTTTGGGTTCATTTGATTTGCGATAATGAGTTTCGTGATGGTTGTTGTTGGATGCATGGGTGGCGCCAATTGAAGTGCTGGTAGGTGGCCATGGGTGGTGTTTCTAGGTGGTTGTTGGACGAAGAAGATGTCTATGGTGGCTCGGTTAAAGTGTTCACGATAGCAATTAAATGACATGTCATTCACTGATTGCACAGCTAAACATTTGGCTGTTAACGATTTAAACAGCGTTTGCCAAAAAGAACTAAATTGAACACAAATCACGATCTTTATGAGTACATTGAACATTTTAAAACAATTAGAATGATTTCGAACAAAGCGGACAAAAATTAGGACTAAGATTGGTATTAAACCAAAAAAGAATTGTGTTGTATTATGGTTTGCGGTTAATTAGGAACAACTGTGTTTTGAAGGGAAAGGAATTTTATGACAATATGCAATTTAACATATGAATTATATTATTGGAATTGGAGTAAGAAGATATATGATAACATTAAGAGCAACAAAACTCATTCCCTTTATTATTTATAGGCCACTGACATATACACTCCAGTGAATAAAGGTCAAAATATCATCCCTAAAATTGTTTGTCCAATAATGTTCATAATTATGTCCATCAAATACTATCACCAATTAATGTCCATAATTATGTCTATAAAATAACGTCCATAATTACATTCATAAATAGGCTAAGAATATATTTCATAATTAATAATTAAATAAATAACCATAATGATAGTATTTAATATCTCCTTGAGATGAAGCATGAAGATCTTGAATGCCTAACTTGTACAAAAGAGACTCAAATTGGGTTTTTCTTATGACCTTTGGAAAAATATTTGCTAATTGTAACTTGGTAGGAATATACGAGGGACCAACAGTGCCAATTGTTACTTTGTTATGAACAANTCCTGATTTGGTTTTACTAAAGCTAGCACCATCATGAGTTGTGAGATGGAAGAATGGTCTTTCATTTTCTTCAACCTCTTTTCCTCTTGTACCAACATGGTCTTGATTTCTTAAAAGTTCCATTTATCCTTAAGAGTGTTATAATTCGCCTAAAACTGGCTAAATTCATGAGGAAGAGAGTTCATGATAAATTCTACTATAAAAGACTCATTCACTTTCATTCCCATTCACTTTCATTCTCATTCACTTCAAACCTTGTTGCTATTAGCCATTCTAGTTACATGGTCATGAATGGGTTAAGACCAGTTAAACGTTTTAGTTGTCAGCTCACTCATAAGAGTTCTCACAATATACTTGTCAATTATGTCTTGTTGTGAGTACTCCTTAATCATTTTCATGAATTCTTTTGCATTTTCCGTTTTAGGCATAGAAGACTTTACATTCTCTACCATGGACATGTGCATCAAGTTTAGGGACAACCTATTAGACTTATGTCAAGCCTCATAAAGAGACTTGTCATCACTTGTATTGGTCTCCGTAATGGCTATGGGACATTTCATCTATAGTAATAGTCATATCCAAGTCAAACACACCCAGTTGGAACTGAATTTGTTCTTACCAATCAACATAGTGTAGCCCATTAAATTTGACTACATTGTTACTCAAACCAAATAAATTCATGGAAGGTAGAAACAATATACAATCTCATACATTAATGTTTTGATAAAATGAATGGATTCAAACAAAATAACTACACTAATCATACATTTAAGTTCATCTTTGGATGATACTTAAACAGATAGATAATCATATAAATCATTCATTTAAGTTCATCTTTCCGTAACACTTAAACTAATCGATTTCATATTGTCTACCATCATATTAAGTCTATATTTATGTTATATTTGGATATACAAACATGTTTACTAAGTATATCAAATTATTTATTTTAATGTTATTAATTATAAACAATGACCCAATTTTAGATGACACGGTAATGACCACTCACTATAGATATATTATATATATCCATAAATGTTTTATAATAATAAACTTTAATAACAAAACATTCATCTAAGATTTTAATCATTTGACTTTTGAAAACAAAACTATATGCAATTAAATTCCTGTAACAGATTTCCGTTACGTCACATGGAAAACTTACTTTTCAATCTAAAACACTGGCTTGCAATTTTAAACACTCAATGCAGTATTAATTCATGTTACAGAACAAAAAATGTTCCAATTCAAGTCAACGGATTTCATTAAATGGACGAGTGCTCTAGTGGTAGAATAAATAGTACCCTAATAATATAACCAAATGCAACCTCTTGTCCTTCATGCAGCAATAGTAAACTTGTTTTCCTTTTCAATTTAATTGAAATTGACATTTACAAATACAACTTAATTCAATCAAATAAAATTCGAGAACAATTTAATCATCAGATTCAATTTGATTATAGACAATGAAAATTATAAAATCTCAAAAGTCTATAATTTCAAAATTAGTGATTTCTATAATTAGTAAAAAAATTCATGGAAAATCATAAAATCTAAAAAAACTTAGTTCTAATACCGCATGTAAACAATTTTGATTGAAATATAAAATTGTTTATATGTAGTTTCATAATCAGGTTTTCTATATTTTATGATTATCCATAAATGATGTTTTATCCCAATTATAAAAAATATTATTTTGAAATTATGAATTTTAAGAATTTTATAATTTATGCGACTTATAATGAAATATATGTCCATGATTAAATTGTTCTCAAATGTTATTTGATTAAATTATGTTTTTTTTGGTAAATTTCAAATTAACTTAATCAAAAGTTTTCCTTTCCTTACTTCTCTTTAATAATACCTTCTTGATAATATAGAATTATCCGGATAAAAAATCTTACACTATCAAAGTCACGTTCTTGATAATATAGAATTATCCTATAAGAACGTAACCCTTTTCCACTTTTTTAAAAAGTAATTATCATTAACTTATAATATTTTAAAAAAATTAATAAAATGTGAAAAGTATCTTTCATAAAATAATAAGAAATAGATTAATTTTTATAACTCTAAAATAATTTCATGACTTTAGTATATTCATATTTTAATAATTATTACATTAGAATTTCTATTAAAATTATTCTTTAAATTACATAAACTAAATATTAAATTAATATAATTTAACACTTCAAATCACTAACACCAATCTTACTGCACATCAAACGTCACCATGAAAACGAAGCATCGTTATATCTACGTTGCTTCGTAGACAACTTTCAAATAAAACTCAGAAGGACAAAACAGGTATTAAATAAAATGATAGGGTGTTGGAAGAAAATGACAGGGTATAGGAAGCAAAAACCTAACCTTTTTTATTTTATTGCAATGTTTTTCAATGAGAAAAAAAAGTATTACCGAACGTTTTACTATACAGGTGTAATACTAGAGGAAAATAGAGGTTTGAGACCACGTTTATTCTTCACGAAAAAAGTAAATATTTTTTTACTAAAACAAACTACTGTAAGCAACGAATTAAATTATTTATTGGATATTCAATAAAAATAAATACAAAAGACCAACAACAATAACTTCATCCAAATAACTGATTTACTCATTAATGTTTATTACGGCTATTCTTAATTTACGTTAAATTAAGAATTCTTTTTGTTATATTTTAATAGAATAATAAAAGCAATCTGGTGAAAATTTATGGTTTATATTTTCCTGAACCTAAATCATGGAAAAATTATGGTCCGGAAATTACGTAGGAAAATATAATAAATGTTTGTTTAAATTTTGTACTTTGTAAAATTTAAATAAAAAAAGTATATTCCAGATATTGGTTTTCCATATAAGACCATATATCTACGACGAATTTTTAAATAAACTTTTTTCTGATTTCATCAAATAACTAATATATGAGGGACACCAATATATACCAAAATATCTTTTTTGCTATCATGTTTAAAGATCAGAAATTATTTTGGATGAAAAAATCCGATTTCAACTGGATGTGGCGCCAGTCGGTTTTAATCTGGTATATCTAGTTCGTTAAACTAGCATATCAAAAATGAAATTGAAAGTTTTAAACTAAAAATTAAAATAGAAAATGAATTATGAATATTAATTTTTGGTTAGTGACAAAAACCAACATATCCAAAGATTAAAATACATTAATCATTTATAAAAGGTAAAAAGATCAATCTTCATTTTCCTCAATTTTCTAAGAAAGCAACTAAAGAGTATTTGCAAGACTGTAAGAGCTTCTTCAAAGATACTGGGAATTTCCTACTCAGACTTGGCATTGTATCTTATTCTATTTTCAACTCCATAAAAAATTTAACTTAATTATACATATTTAAACTAAAATAGATTTTTTAGAACGTTAATTTAAATCTTTTTAATAAATTATATTGTAATTCTAATTTAGTATAACAAGTATTGATTCAGAAAATCATTTGAAGAGAAGCTATTTTAAATGGTACATTCCAGGGTTGTAACCGACACCAAATCATCAAGCTACAACTCATTTGAAACACAATATCATTCAAAATAAGTGCAGAGACCCATGCATCCAAATCATGCAGCTTCATATGCATAAAATGCAAAAATACGTTTTATAAAAAAAACAAGGGAATATAGCATAAAATGACTACTTATATGAAGAAGTCAAAGAAGTTATAGCTCAACTAGTCAAACACTAAGAAGCTCTTGATCCAAAAGAAAGATAACAACATAACACGAATAATTTTGAAAAGATATTCAGCCAAGTCCATACATTAAAGGATAAAAGCAAAATTATTTGATTTAGCAACAGCAATCACTCATCTTCTTGGCTGCGCAACCTGGCAAGTTTGTTGGTAACAACAACATCCAACTGTGCAGCACGTTCTACAATCTCCTTTCTCTTCCTGGTTGACACATTGTGTGCAATCTCAGCACAGTATGTCCTGATGTTTCATCAACCATAGTAACCAAGTCAGGAACATAATGTACCAACAAAAGGGTAAGGAAATTTTTACATGCAAACAACAACCAGTAACTACCTGTTGTGCATCATCAGAAGTTCAAGATCCTTGACATTGTGGACAACAAACTTCTTGAATCCATTAGGCAGAAAGTGACGGGTCTTCTTGTCTGAACCATAACCAATGTTTGGCATCAAAACACATCCTTTGAACTTTCTCCTCACACGTGAATCAATACCCTTTGGCCTGCGCCAGCTCGGCTGCATACAAAAAGAGCATACATTGGAACCAATGATGTTCAAGATTATTGACCAACATATACAACAAAACGTATCAAAAAGATGAAAACAATCATATATTATGGGATGTGGCAATTATATTGGTAGTGGAAAACATTAGGGATACCAAACTGGAAACATCTAAGCTTACTCTGAAAGTCATTCAAGGTTCAATTCTCTAATATCTAAACGTAGGCATACCCTTTTCAATTATCAAAAGAGCACATAACATTGAAAATCTCCAGGAAACTAATTTCCAAGCAAACTAATCCTGCACACATACCTTCACGGAAATTTTGCGGTCACTTTGGGGCCTCTTAAACCTCTTGACACGCTTCTTCACCACTCTCTTGCTTAGCAAGGGAACAGCCATCTTGTCTCTAATAAACACAAGTCAATGTCATTTAACAACTAAACTAACTTTGCAGAACAAAGAGACAATCAAACTTTACAGAAAAGTTATCAGGGACATTAAAATTTGAAGAAAAATGATAGCAATACAAACAAAAATTATAACTTTGGGCAATACAAGGAACAAATATATCGGAAAAGCTGGAAAAGTCCGAAATCAGCAATTAAACATAATGAATATCTCAAATCTGATTCCAAATTTGGCTAAACCACTCAGTTTTCATACAAATCGAGAAATAAAAAAGCATTGCAAAAACCCAAGTTGAATATTACGTCAAAAGTTGCTTTCGCTTCAACCCATGTCAGTATTTCCCTAAGAGAGAATGTTAATTAAGCAAAAATGAAATTTTGGGTACATAGATTTAGGTCAAATTCAAACACACTTTGTAGAAAACATAATCAAAACTGAAAATATAATATCAACACGGTAACTATTGTAAAGAAACAAGAGTACCTGCTTGCACTGGTGTTCCTCTAAAAACAAGGCTGAGAGATGCTGATGAACACAGCCGAGGCACTGGCAATTAGGGTTTTAGAGTACTATATATATGAACGGCTAATGATATGGTGGTATTGGACCCACCTTAAATACAGTACACCTTATGATTCGAAACTAAATGAACCTATACGATTAGATTGGGCCGGGCTTCATGTGTTAACGGGCCTTTATTATTTGCACACCTTTTTCACATTTTTGCTTTGTCGTTTTATTTAAAATGGGTTTCTGTTGACCAATAAATAAAATGAAAATGAAAAAATAACTATACATTCTATTTTTGTATAATTTATTTTTAAAGAAAATTTGGCATTACTGAAAATAATAATTCACTAATGCATATTTTGATTTAAAATCTGTCCATTAGCATTAAAAAAAATTTACACTGTACTACGTCAAAGCTCTTGCATGAAGCTTCTTACTTTAACATTATATTCAAAATTTGTGTAAGTTACTAAAAATTAATAAAACCAACAATTTTGATTACACAAGTCCTTAAAATTTCCATGATTTATCACCTCATAGAAGGAATTTAATTAAACCACTCAACAACAAAAAATTATTGAAGGCCTTAACTTTGCAAAATATAAATGATAATATTAAAAATCAAATACATAAGATAAAAGAAAAAATATATATCACAGCCGCATATGAAATTCAAACTATAAAAATGTATTTCCATCATTTGAGAAAACACTTAAAGGTGAAAACCTAAATTAAGATTATCAATTTTTCAACACTGAAAAAAATAGTTTTGCATATAGGCACTCTTTCGTAACAAAATTAACATAAATAAAAAGTTCCTTTTCTAAGATAACAAAAACTTTGATAAAAATAAATAAATTAGAACTATTAATAATTTCTTTTAAAAGATATTGAGATTTTATATTTAGAAATAAAGATTAATTTCGTATAAGAAGAAGAGAATATTTGATGATAAATATTTACTATCTAAATATACTGACCAACTTTTTGATTTTATACATATTTTGGTAACGGAATCACTTTCTATATAATATTATCATTGAATTAGTTTGTAAGAAATAGGGTCATTGAAGTCCACCGTTCTTTTGTGGTTTTGCGGCAAGAAGACCGGCGATTGAGGGTTTCGATTTAAGAGTTTTTGTTGTGTTATCTGGTTTTTGTAAATTAGAATATATGGTTTTCGTTTGAAAATCGATTTGGGGAATTCTTGGTTCTTTTTTGTTTTGCGAGTGGTTAGGGATTTTGTTCTTCCCTAAAGATTTGAGTTTTGCGCAGTGGGGGATGATGGTTCAGATCGCGAATGTTAGGGTTTCTGAACTTGGAATTTTCTTTTGGAGTATGTATCTGATTTGTTCTTTGGAAGGATGTTGGTTCTGGTGATCACAATTAGGGGTGGTCCTTTCTTATCTTTTTCCATGAATTTGTTTTTTCGTTTTGGGTTCATTTGATTTGCGATAATGAGTTTCGTGATGGTTGTTGTTGGATGCATGGGTGGCGCCAATTGAAGTGCTGGTAGGTGGCCATGGGTGGTGTTTCTAGGTGGTTGTTGGACGAAGAAGATGTCTATGGTGGCTCGGTTAAAGTGTTCACGATAGCAATTAAATGACATGTCATTCACTGATTGCACAGCTAAACATTTGGCTGTTAACGATTTAAACAGCGTTTGCCAAAAAGAACTAAATTGAACACAAATCACGATCTTTATGAGTACATTGAACATTTTAAAACAATTAGAATGATTTCGAACAAAGCGGACAAAAATTAGGACTAAGATTGGTATTAAACCAAAAAAGAATTGTGTTGTATTATGGTTTGCGGTTAATTAGGAACAACTGTGTTTTGAAGGGAAAGGAATTTTATGACAATATGCAATTTAACATATGAATTATATTATTGGAATTGGAGTAAGAAGATATATGATAACATTAAGAGCAACAAAACTCATTCCCTTTATTATTTATAGGCCACTGACATATACACTCCAGTGAATAAAGGTCAAAATATCATCCCTAAAATTGTTTGTCCAATAATGTTCATAATTATGTCCATCAAATACTATCACCAATTAATGTCCATAATTATGTCTATAAAATAACGTCCATAATTACATTCATAAATAGGCTAAGAATATATTTCATAATTAATAATTAAATAAATAACCATAATGATAGTATTTAATATCTCCTTGAGATGAAGCATGAAGATCTTGAATGCCTAACTTGTACAAAAGAGACTCAAATTGGGTTTTTCTTATGACCTTTGGAAAAATATTTGCTAATTGTAACTTGGTAGGAATATACGAGGGACCAACAGTGCCAATTGTTACTTTGTTATGAACAAAATGATAATCAACTTCAATATATTTTGTTTTTAATAAAAATTGGATTTCGAGCAATATGTAATGCTAATTGAATATCACACTACAATTGTATTCCTTTAGAATAATTAATTTCCAACAACAAGTAACTCTTTGAGTCCTTTTAAGTCGCATGTAATCGTCGCCATAGAGCAATATTCAACCTCTACAAAAGAGCGATAAATAGTTAATTGTTTCTTAGTTTTCCAAGCTACTAGAGAAGAACCAAGAAGCACCACCCAACCGGTTAAAGAACCTCTTATAAGTGGACAACTCGCTCAGTCTAAGTCACATCACCCTTGTAGTTCTAGTTTACTGTTAAACCACAATAAAATACATTGTCCTGAATTTTCCTTCAAAATTCTAAGAACCCTTAAGGTTGCTTATGAATGCTCTTTATTAGGTTTTTGAATAAACTGAGATAAAATGTAGAATGAATAAGCAAGATCAAGTCTAGTCATAGACAAATAGACTTATCAACGGTGTATTGCGCAAGCCTCCCAGGATACAACATGAACTTCTCAAAAATTTCTAAGGATCTCAGAACTTGCAAGGAACTCTAAAGAGAGTAAAAGAATAAACCCAATATATAAAGAGGATAATAAAAGAAAGGAAGAAAAACTAAGAAGATAGTTTTAGAAATAAAGTTTCCTTTTGAGAGGAGAAGAGAAAGCTTAATTTGGTGTGTTCTTTGGAATGCAGGAAATGCTCTATTTATAGAACAAAAACTTGGTCAAAAATTGTTTCCACAATAATGAATAATAAAAACTAACTGTTGGCACTTATGATCTTTAATGAGAGAAAAAATTGTGCATTTATGAACGTTAATGAACAAATAAAAATTGTTGGCCAACGTTTAAAACTAACTTTTCTTTTGCAATTATTATTATTTATAACATTCCCCCACATATCGCAAAAGAAAGATAAGAAACTTTTATCATGGGTCTCATAAGATGTAATGCATCAGAGTTGGTATAACAAACTGTATGAATCAGTCTTTGATTAAGAAACTTAACACATAGTGTAGTTAGTATAACATGCTATATGAACCAAAGACACTTGACGTGTGTTAGAGGTTTATCAATCACAATACACCCCCATAATCCTTGTTGTTATCATTGTGTTGCGCTTATTACATCATGTGTGTGCCCGATATTCATGAGTATTCTAGATATCATGCCAAGATCTCATGCAAGCGGCCCCACTCTACACTCATATAGGTTATTTCATCAAGTGTATGCTGCAAATCATACACCACTCATAAAGGATATGAAAATCATTAAGAACTTTGTTTAAGCTAAAATTCTTTCACCACATAGAATTTTAATGACAATTTAACCTCTCATAATGTATTCTCTAGCACTTTCGCACACACCATAGGAATGGACGTAATTATTAAAATCAATTTGGTGCTATCAGAACTAACGAGTGACTTATTTTTACTCATATGATCCTTATTAATGGATCTCCAATCACAAAGGTTGGGCTACCATCACTTATTTGTTTGCAAGTGGCTTAAGTCTTATTCTCCTAAAAGAGTTTTTAATATCATTTGTCTTCTTGGGGGTTTTGTCAGAGGATTTGCCAGATTTCGTTTTGACTTCACATAATAAATGGAAATAGTTCCACTCTTTAGCAATTGCTGCCCCAAATTATGTCTCAATTATATATGTCTATTCTTTCCATTGCAATTCTTGTTTTTACCTATAGTTATTGTCGATTGGCAATCACAGTGTATTGACGCTAATGAGGTTGGTTTCATTCCTAGTGGAATGTTTACTAAGAAATTTTTCAACCACTCAGCCTTAGTAACAACCATCTCAAGAGCGAAAAACACATATTTTGTTGTTGATCTTGCAATAATTATTTGTCTAGCTGTTCTCCATATGATCGCACCACCCCCAAGTGTGAATACATAACCACTAGTGGATTTTGTCTCATCTGAATCAGAGATCCAGTTAGCATCATTGTATCCTTCTAGTACAACGAAAAATCTACTATATTAAATGACATAATTCATTGAACATCTTAACTATCTTTTGCACTTGCATATAAATATTCCTAATTAAAATATTAAGTATATATTCTTAGTCTACTTATTGCATAAGTAATATCAAGTTTTAGAAAAACTCATCAAATGTAGTTAGCTCCCAAATATTTTGGCATACTAAGGTTGAGAATAGATTCTCATCTACCTTTCATTCATTTAGAATTAGTATCATAAGTGGTTCTCACTATTTTTGAAGTCTCAATACTCAAACTTCTTAAGAGGTTTCTTAGTGTATTGTTTTGGAATGGGAATATAATATCTCTCCCTTATGATTCTACCTTCTAAATTCATATTGACTTCGCCTAGAAGCAACTTATATTTCAACATGAGATTCTAGAAACCTTAGTTTTTAGAGAGTATTTGATTGCATGTGTCAATCATTAAAATGTCATTCATATATAAATATATAACGACATATTCTCTAGTTCCAAGAGTAATATCGGTGAAAAATCAAACTTATTTCTTCAAGTAATTATGTAAAATCACCTACATCCCCATAATTTTAAAATATTTAACATTGGTAAACGAGAAAATACATGGTTGTACTTCTCTAATTTGTAGGTAGAGTATAAAAAAATTACTCAAATATTTGATAATGGTCCACTGCATTACCTACCACAAGAGGTGTTGAAATTAATTTGGGGTGTACAAAAAAAAAATCAGGAACCCAATTTCATCTTCTTATTTCTTTTTCTTTCTCTAGAGA